TAGGATACTCAACTGATTTGATTTCTGAACAAGTCAATAGCATGAAAAAAGGGAAATTGTTTCAGATTACAGAGATTTAAGACACATAGCCAAATACAGTGTAGACACCTTGTTTGAATCTAGATTTCAACAAAGCAAATATAAAATGATACCTTGAAACAACTGAGAAAATAGGAGTATAAGCTAGGCATTTCAGGACACAAAAGAATCATAAATTTTGACCAATGTAAAAATGGAGTACTTGTTACATTAGTTAGAAAGTGTCTGTGTTTTTGGAAGGCACTAAAGTATATAGGATAAAAGATATGATGTTTGAGATTTGCTGTAAAATCCTTTCAAAAATTAAAAAAGATATATAAAGTAGGAGTCATCATTCAAGTTATAGTAACAAAGTCTCATGCACTAGGTGGCTTACAATAGAAATGTATTTCTCAAAGTTCTAGAGGCTAGAAAGCTAGATGAGGTTACAGCATGCCTAAATTCTGGTGAGGGCTCTCTCCTGTAGACTGGCTCACAGACTACAGACTTCTTGTGCCCTCAGGTGGGGGAAAGAGAGTGGGAGGGGTCTCTGTGGTCTCTTTTATAAGTGCTCAAACTCCTTTTATGAAGACTCCACTTTCATGACCTATCTATCCCTCAAACACCTCATCATCTAATACCACCTTGCTAGGGGGTTAAAATAACAAATTTTGGAGGGACACAAATATTCAGTGCATTGCACCTAGCACAATAATCTGGAAAATTTCTACATCAGAGTGATAGTTATATAATGTAAATCTATAATTCTATAATGTATATAATTATATTGTATATATTCATTATATTGTTCTCTGTTCTTTCTTTTTTATATATTTAGTACAGGGTCTACAGGGTCTTACTACACAGATGAGACTCATAGTGATCCTCCTGTTTTCAGCCTCCCAAGCACTGGGATTACAGGCACGCACTACCATGCCCAGTCTCAGTCCCAATCTCAGTGTGTCCTGGGGCGGGCCCATCATGGAACACCAGGGATAGAACCCTGGTCCCTGTGCCTGTTAAGCAGCCACTTTAGTCTGCTGAGCTATCTGGCTGGCCCTTCTGTTCTTTCTTACATTTTTGAAAATTTAAAAAATGATGGCAAAAAGAAGACAAATACAAAGGATTCAGTTGGGGAAAATGATGCTCAAAAGATATAATCAGGCATTTATACAAGAGAGATACATATATACAATAAACATTTGAAAAGATATCAAGCATTTCTGATAGGGAAATGCAAACTAAAACAATAAGAAGATACTATTTTCTTTTCAAAGGCTGGAAAAATGTAAGACTGGGACCATGCACTATACCCATGGCCAAATAAATAGCTGGTTATTTCTGCCATGGCAAATCACCTCCATCCCACAGTATTTATAAATATTAAACCACAAGCATATTTTAGATAACAGCAGTCTCACATTTTGGAATTTATTCTGCAGAAATAAAAGTACCAGAAAGTAATGATCTGTACATGGGGTGTCTGAGGCAGTAGTTTTTGAAGTGTCAAGAGAAAACATTGAAGACAACCTAAATTATCACAAAGTAATGGCCAAATAAACTACAGTTCAGCAGGGTACAGTGATGCATGGCTGTAATCCCAGCACTCAGGAGGCTGTGGCAGGAGGACTGCCATGAGTTTGAGGCCAGCCAGGGCTGCATAATGAATTCAAGGCCAGCCTTCAGTACAAAGCAAGACCCTGTCTCAAAAAAAAACCTGAATAAATCAATAAATACATAAATAATGGTTCATTCATAACATGGAATGTTATTTTTTAAATTAAATTTTGTCATAATCAGAGTATGTTTGTAGTACAATATCTAGGAAATTCAGACAAAAGGGGAAAATTCATAATTCCAGACCCAGAAATATCATCTTTGTACACAGTAAATGTTTTCCATCATGAGAGTGTATAGTTGGCTTTCTGTTCCAGTAAGTTCTGCAACCAGAGTTAACAACTGCAGTTGAAAATATTCATTTTACTTATTTATTTGTATTTTAGGGAAGGGTCTGCAGGGTGTTCAGGGTCTCAGTACTAGACTGGACTCATAGTGATCCGCCTGTTTACAGCTTCCCAAGATCTGGGATTACAGGTACGTGCCACCATGCCCAGTTTCAATGGCCTTTCAGTGCTCTGGGGGGCAGGGCCAGCACGACAGGCCCAGGGATGCAACCCCTGGCCCATGAGCCTGCTTGCAGATGCTTTAATCTGCTGAGCTATTTGGCCAGCCCTGCAGTTGAAAATGTTCAGAAAAAACTTTTGTCTGCATTGAGCAAGTACAGATTTCTTTTGTCATGGTTCCCTAAACAATCTAACAATTTATGTAGCATTTATATGTGATTAGGTACTAAAAGTAATCTAGAGAGTTCAGTATTTGGAGAGGTTCTCAAACCAGTTCCTCATGCACACCAAACAATGACTGCTTATGTATGTATACATGTGTATATGCATATGTATATACTATATGTGATTTTCCATTAAAATCATTAAATTATGCAATGTGTTGTAATTGCTTGTTTCCTTAATGCCTTTGCAAATATTTTTTGCATCAATAAATATTCATCCAAAGATTAACATTGGGAATATATAAGAAACAGCAAAAAATATATAACCTGAATTTAAAATGCCCAAAAGACTTCAATAAATATTTCTCAAAAGAATACATAGAGTCCTAGCCCAGGTCCGGTGAGTATGTGGAGAGCTTCCTGCT